TCTGTCACAAGTAGTTCTTATCAAACTGACTTAAGCAGAAAACTTAACATTGAAAATTGCTGATTCATTCAAAGTCACTGGACCTAGGGAGCAGGGCCTCAAAATAGTCGTCAAACAGATATGTACTGATAGTAATGCAACTTCATACAAAAATCATTGATATTTCACAAGTAGATCCTATCAAACTAACTCAAGCAGAAAACTTAACATTGAACATTTTTTATTAATTCAAAGTTACTGGACCATGTCCTAGGGGCCAGGGCCTCAAAATAGTCGTCAAACTGATATGTACTGATAGTAATTCGACTTCATACAGAATATCATTGATCTATCACAAGTAGATCATATCAAACTAACTTAAGCAGAAAACTTAACATTGAAAATTGCTTATTAATTCAAAGTCACTGGACCATGACTTAGGGGGCAGGGCCTCAAAATAGTCGTCAAACTGATGTGTACTGATAGTAATGCAACTTCGTATTAAATACCAATGATCTATCACAAGCAGTTCCTATCAAACTAACTTAAGTGGAAAACTTAACATTGAAAATTGCTTATTAATTCAAAATCACTGGACCATGACTTAGGGGACAGGGCCTCAAAATAGTTGTCAAACTCGTGTGAACTGATAGTAATGCAACTTCATATTAAATATCAATGATCTATCACAAGCACTTTCTATCAAACTAACTTAAGTAGAAAACTTACCATATATTTGCAATACCCCTGAACCTCTGCTGTACCCCTATTTTTGACATTTTTACCTATTGTGTCTGTTTGATGTGTTCACACATTGTTGTCAATATAAACGAATTTTATGCGACTGTTATACTAGTGAGAGGTTTAGCTAGCTATAAAACCAGGTTTAGTCCACCATTTTCTACATAAGAAAATGCCTGTACCAATTCAAGAATATGATAGTTGTTTTCCATTCGTTTGATGTGTTTGAGCTTTTGATTTTGCCATTTGATAATGGACTTTCCAGTTTGAATTTTCCTTGGAGTTTGGTATTTTTGTTATTTTACTTTTTGCAAAGTATTATTAAAATCTTGCCACGCCTCAAAACATCAATCTTAATGAGGAGTATATCCACATGTGCCATTGTGCTGTAATACAGTTAAGATAATTTTGAAAATATTATTGAGACTAATACTATTTTTAAGAACGAAGAAATTAACTAATATATCGAGAAAAAAAAATTGACAACGTTAACGCCATGACAAAAAAAAAGACCAAAAGAAACACAACAGTATTCAAAACAAAAACATAGAAAACTAAAGTCGCAAAGTCATTTCTTAGAAAAAATAACTTGCAAAGAGAAATAACTCTGAATTATTGTGCAACATTTTCGCTTGCTTCATCACAGACTAAAAGTATACTAAATGCAATTATTAATCACTTCCTTAAAAGCTATTCAAGTGCAAGTTATTAAAACATAATCCAATTTAATGATTAAAATCATGATTAACATACACAAACCTTTAGTGTAAAAGATTTTGCACAAAAAGACTTCGCGACTTTCGTTTTTAAAAACTAAACTCAGGAAAAGCCGGAGATGAATATGGCACATTTCTGCAGAATCTAAAATTAGCGAGAGAAACTATCATACCTTTCGCTAATTATTTTCGATCCAATATTTTCAGAAAGATAAACACAATTCAAATCTGACAAATATAACACCAGTTTGTGAAAAGGGTAAAGATGACAGGATATTAGATAAATATCAGGACATAACAGTCTCTTCTGTTTTGGAAAAACTATTTAAACTATTTTTCTCCTTGAAAAAATTAGACCAACCTTCAAAAGTCAATTGTCACAATGATTTGGTCCGGCAGAAGCAAAAATGTATGCCAAATGAATAAATGAAATTCTTATGTTTCGACATCTTCAAATAATCAAAAAGCTTTAGACTTGGTAAAAGAGAAGCGGAAGATACCGACGGGATATCCAAAATGATAAGCCGATGACAAACTGACAACGCTATGAAAAAAAAAGACAAACGACGAAAAGACAAACAACAGAGCACAAAACAAAACATAGAAAGCTAAAGATTTAGCAACACGAACCCCACCAAAAACCGGGCTCGTTTTGCTGTAGAAGAATGTACTTCGAACAACCTGAAATGATAACCTCTTAATATGGGTCTCATAACAATAAATGCAATACACCTTTCCACTCTCCTATCAATCATCAATAAATTGACCAATCACATGTGTAAACATTTGATAGCAGCACGTGTTGTCGGCCATAACCTCGGTCAAACATTCTTATCTAAACAGTTAATTTGATCTAACATTTCTTTAAATTTTCACAATTAAATCGTCAAGAATTTTGTTTTTTGAGAAAGGAATCAATGTTCTTATTGTTTTTCAAATATTGTTTATATGCTATTTTGAAAAATGAAAAAAATATATATATTCTGAAACACAAGATTTGAATTGGTGTACAAATTGAGTTGAAATTGATATTTTTTCATTAATTGAAATGATTCATACTATAAAAAATGCAATTTAGTATGTATAATTTCTGGACATTACATTATATATCTTATAGTAAAGATTCAGCAACAAAAGAATTGACACCTTTCCCATTTCAATTACAAAGAATTATATATAACTTATTCAAATGTTAAAATACTTGTACTTGGAAGCAGTTTAAATTGAAAACTTCAGGATATCATCTTTTGGATGAACAAATTTACAAAATAGTATTTTCATTTTCCAGTATAATATTTGTACAAGAACTATTCCATTCTTTTACAATCAAAACATTTTAGAGGTAGTGTAAGTTTTACCACCTTAAAACTAATCTGGAAGAAAAATATACAACCTCATTGGAATGAGATGGAAATTAAAATTACTGATCTGAAAGTCTGCATGGAATGAAATGATGTAGTGAATTAGATATTTGTAGTCTTTTTGTGTACAAATTATATATATAAAAATGAAAGTATTTGTTTGTACTGCTCTCATCGCTAGCATTTCGTTAAAAGACAGAGGGGAAACTCAAATAATAATAAAAAAATATATTTCAATAGATGCTTCATAGGAAGTAAGATAATGTTTAATTTTGATATGACTTTGGTCTACTGTGGGAGAATTTGCTGATTGTTCTTGACCTTTTTCAATTTGTTTGAATAAATTACAAAATTGGATACATTGTATTTTCTTAATTTGAAAAAAGGGTCAGTAAAATGTGCAAAGATTCCTGTTAAGGACAAGAGTTGTATATAAATTTAAAACAAAGACGAAGTACAATGGCCAAATATTCCTGCAATTAAATAATCAATTAATTTTCTTTTGTTCTTTATATTTCACTTAGTGATAGGAATTTTAATTATCATTAAGTTCTCTATGGATATAAAAACAGAAAACCGGTTAAATGTTATTTGATAAACAATCAATAGGTACTGGAGCAATGATGCTTGTTTTACATGTTGACCCATGCTGTGTTTGTCTACACAGTAAACACACTTATCAGCATTCATTAGACATGCTTAATTAAACCTGTAATTTATCATCATAATTTATCGTATTAATCATGAAATGTAATATTCTATATCTTGTTGTTAAACTACATTTTTGGGGAATAAGGGTGATTCAGTAGCTTCAAATTTACAATATTTTAATTGTTTCTTTTTATTCAGTATAAATGGACATAATTTCTTCAAAATGTCATACATTTATCTCTCAACCCTTCAGGAGTAACTATCTCATCATACTTTAACACAAGCAAATATATGAACAAAATATTGCTCTTATTCATAGTTGTTCATAATAACTGCCATTTGTTGATAAGCTTGACCTAGGATGCTGGGTTGTCATGTGTTGCTAAGGGGGCAGGGCATACCAGTAGATAGTGGAAAGGTGTTTTGTCTTTCAAAAACGATTAAAAATCAAAGTCGGTAACAATACCACACACTTGCATTTTATTCTTCGTCAGACAAAGGTCAAAATCTGATTGAAAAATGCGACAATGAAGTGCATAAGGGACGCACACATAAGTATCGGACTACAACCATGCTAGTAAGTTTAAACACAAGCACCTATACCCTTCTTCTTTTATTCATACGAAACGGTAGAACAATCAAAGTTTAAAAGTAACACCATTACTAGTAAATTAACGGGTGCCACATGTGGATCAGGATCTGCTTACTCTTCCAGAGCACCTGAGATCACCCCGTTTTTGGTGGGGTTTGTGTTGCTCAGTCTTTGGTTTTCTATGTTATGTTTTGTGAACTGTTGTTTGTCTTTTTCTTTTATCCATGGCGTAGTCAGTTTATTTTCAACTTATGAGTTTGAATGTCCCTTTGCTATCCTTCGCCTCTTTTTTTTAAATCACAAACAAAAAGACAAAAATTGCAGCATACTGTTCTTTGTCAAGAGATATAGTTATCATAGACTAAAAAAAATCCATCAGGACCTGATGAGGGCAAAACGACTACTTGCAAAAAAGACTGTGCACATATCACGTTTTATCCTTTGAACACGGTAGGGTTTTTTACCATTCAGAAGTACCTTATATTTGTAATTTTTCCACAACATTATTGACAGGTTAGACATGGTCAGTGAAACTTCTTTTCAATTGTTTTCGTCGTTTTGCAAAAGTATGAATACAAGCCTACAGAACATTTGTATTTTGTTGAACATTTGAATTCATGGTTCAAAAAGTTAAATCACAAAAATACTGAACTCCGAGGAAAATTCAAAACGGAAAATCCCTAATCAAATGGCAAAATCAAAAGCACAAACACATCAAACAAATGGACAACAACTGTCATATTCCTGACTTGGTACAGGCATTTTCTTATGTAGCAAATGGTGGATTGAACCTAGTTTTATAGCGCTAAACCTCTCACTTTACTCTCAACTTTACCCACGAAATCCACGAAAATTGATATACCACGAATAATAATAAATCAATGGGATTGCCACTTGTCGTTAAGCAAGCGACAATCAATCAATCAACCTTGTAAATCTGTTATATATAAAAAGACAAAGTTTTGAAAAGTACTTTTATTTGAAACAGGAAGACACACACATTCTAAAGATGTACATCCTGTCAACAACAGCTGTTATACCATATCCAACCTAATATTAATATGCAGTGCCTTAAAAGACATTCAGTTTGAACTAAAAGGGGGAACTGCTTCATACATGCATATTTTAACAATATTCATTTTTTTTCTTAATAATTTTACAGAGCAATACCTTTGTGTGGACATAGGACTATATTAAGTCTAACATGGTAATAGAATAACCTTTTACAATTGACTCTCAATATATCAATGGAACGGGACCATTTTGGCAATTTTGGCCCAAATAAATTTAAAAATAACTGATGTACATGTATTGATGTTCTGAAGAGTTCAAATAATTTTATATAATGAATGTCAAAATTATCGTTTATTTGGTAAAAAAAAATAATAATAACATCATGCCTCTTAACTAGAAGAAACAATTTTGATCTGAAGTTTTTCCTTACTTCTGAAAAATAATACAACAAAAAGAACAGGCTATCAAAGATAATTATAAATCAATAATGTTAGTAACATAGAGATCATGGCTTGGTTTTGTTCACTACAAGTTATTCAAATGTTGCCTTACGGCAATTCAAATCAGACAGCTTGAAAGTAATTATATATCTCTAGCTTTTTACAAGTATTGTGGAGGTAGATAATTTATTTAAAAATACTAACAGAAAGAACGGCCATAAAAATGTCTTCTAAAAAATTATGATACTCATATAACAAAATAAATATTTAGCCTCTATCATTTAAGTTTTACAAGTTTCAAGTGCAGCAGGAAATTTTCTTTGCAATTTTATTCTCTAAATTCTGATCATTAAAACAAATATTAACAAAAACACAATTTTTTTTCCCAAAGTTTAAATTTTGTGATTTCCAATGCAGTGCCTGTTCATAAGATTTTATTTTCACATTTTTGTGTTCTTGTCTGTTATTCACCTCATACATGTACCTGCAAATTTTTGCATAGGGAATATTTTGCAATTCTAACTTGATTAGAAATTCAGGAAATGCTAAACAAGTATTTCATTATGGAAAATTTGTAAACTAGACATAAAATAAACTGGAAAATAAAAAAAAAATAGAATTTGCACCTTTTACTTTAAATCTATATCTCACCTATAAAATGTTCAATGAGGTTTTTTTTCTTTAATTTGGTACTTTATTTGTTACAAGAATAAACACCTTACAAGTTAAATTTAATCTGAAACAAAAATTTTGAAGGATTTTGAAGGATCCTATACCTTTATACATAGTGAACATTAAATATCACAAAAAATTTGGTATCAACTTCAAGACAGAAAACAGAAGTGTTACAAATCTTTAAATTAATAGTGAAATCGACAATCTATTTCTTTTTCTAACAACACATTTTTGAAGTAGTATATTAATGAATGTATCTAATTTCAATGGAAACAGGTCTGGAACAAGCACATTTAAAAAACGTTTTCTCTGCTTAAAAACAAAACAACCTTTTAAATAACAAATGTAGCAATGATAAAGATGTAACAAAGCAAACGAAAGACTTCTTTATGCTGTAAGTAATGTTAAATGTAACCATGACACTTGAAAAATGGGAGCAAACTCTAGCTTTTGTAAAACGAAATGCATGTCTTTCACTTTAAGATGCAAACAATGTTGTATTCAGCTATTGCACAAAAAAGGAAATTAATGATCATAAATTTTCACATTTCTTGTTTGTATGGAATATACTTTTAATTTCAAAATGCATCCCTAAACAATCTATTTTTCAGTCAATCTGACTTGGATAAAATAGTAACAGTCAAGCCATTACAACTTTTTAACCATTTTTTATCATAAATAATGCCTACCAACCTGACTGACAATATATCATGTATATTACACCTTAATTACAAAACAAGAATTTATTAATTCAAAAGTTGTTTTGCTAGTTTCAAAAAAACAACCATTAGAATAGGTTAAAATTGGGTTTATGTCATTATAACAAATTTTATCCCACCACTGTACCAGTGGTCATATATTATTTACATACAACCTGTTAAAACAATGTACACAGAACAAATAAAAATACACAAAAAGTCACAACACTGAACAATTATCACATTGACGATGATTTATGTATAAATATTAATTATTTCAATTAAGTCTAAGTTATCCCTATAAGGAAGTAAAAAACAAGACTAAATAATGTCATATTAATTAAAAGTTTATCCTTACCAATGCAGTTAGTATACTGAAATTGCCTTTCATTTTTTATTCAAATTTGATACTAATATTTCTTTAAAAAAATATTTTTGAAATCAGCATTTTTTTTGTTTAGCTATTGCCTATAGAAAATTATTTATAAAGATAAGAAAAATTATTGCACACTTCTACACAATATTTGTCTCATATTGTTTTTGTAAACATTTTACTGTCGCATGCAGTATACAATCTAAAGTTCAATAATTCCTAAAATCAAATTTTCTCCTCAATAGTTCTAAAATCTATGAAGCAATAAAACAAAGGAATGTAAAGCAAATAATTGATATGTTTATTAAACTTTTTTATATAATTTTACACCTTGAAGTTCTGCATTTGTGAGGAATGTTTTCCTAGAAATTATTTACAATAGATAAATATTTTGATTGCCGCTCATTGCTTCCGAGAGAAAAGTGAGCAATTAAAAAATCTTAAAACCTAAAACAGTAATCCCATCGGATATATATTTAATGTTATAAAAGTTTTTATTTATAGAGGGATTATTATCTTAGTCTCAGATTGTATTTCTTATTATCAACTTTATCTAATAAACACAAATGAAGTGTGTTACTAAAATTGTTCTTATATAAATAGTTGAATTATTTTTTTATGAGTCTTAGGATGGGTTTGGGTGTTTTCATAAGCTTAAAAGCTCCAAATGATATGAGTTATAATTCTACGTATTATTTTTTCTAAATTAAAGAGAGATTAAATTGTCAAAATGCCCATCTGGTGCAGCAAAATTGGAACTGTTTATATTGTCAACCATCCTTGAGAACAAAGTTAGTAAATTCTTACTTTGTATCTAAGAAAAATTTGGAAATATTGTGAAACAATGTAAAAACAATAATATTTTTTTTCTAAATAAAATGTGATGATGCTGCAGTTATCTTTTTTATTTTAATTTCCATTGATATTCTATTAAGCATATTTTTCTCATTTTCTTCCCAAAATTCAGCTTCTGGTCAGCTGTTTTTTTTTTTCAAAAAGTCACTGTAAGCTTTTGTATAATTTGCCTTGAATTTAAATATTAAATAATCTTATTAAATTGATAAAATATAATTAACAGTTATAAAGTGTTTCACTGACAAGCTACAGCATTCTTACAATGTCAGATGGTATTTGACGGGGAACCAAATGATTGAATACACAACAGTCACATTAAGTTTGGAATCTTAAAAGATACAAATAAACATTTTATTTACATGTAGAATTTTTTTGCAGCATTATCTCCCCTTACTCAACTGTAAACAACAAACAAATCATGTGTGAAACAGACAATTTACATATTTATCAGTCATACTCTCAACATTAAGTATTTACAAAAAAATTAAAGCACTATAATAAATAAAATAGCATATAAGTAATTTTACTCTCTACTTCTCTTATGTACAAATTTTCAAAGCACAAACTGTGAAAAATCAAATTTCCTATAAAATTTCAACTGGTTGGTCTTTTTCTACCTATACTTTCTTTTTACATGTTCATCCATGTGGAACTGCATTTCAATCATTAAAGCCTTAATGCATATTTTATTTACGACACTTTCTGTTACCATAATTCCCTACTTGTGATATTTGAGGATTTTGTTTCCAACAATTTGTGTTTTGTTCAGATGATTTCATTAAAAATTCAATCCTCAAAATATAACTAACTTCATTGTATTTTGTTTTGTTTTAGCAGTTTTTTGTTTGACAAATTTCATGAATGGTAGTTTTTTAAGGGGGCAGTACATTAAATTCAAATTGAATGTCACTATAGCTTTTGATTAATTTTAATGGACCTTGAAGTACATGTGTACCCTTCTCAAATACATAAATTTTGAATGTAAGTGCACATGAAAATAATCCAAATATAGGAACTCCCAAAATGTTAACATAGTGTGTGCTTTGAAAAGAAAGCAAATGTACAAGCAAGTCTTCTATCTAACATATAATGATGTGCAACACATAATTATTTTATGATTCAATCATGATTTATGAAATGTATAAAAACGAATGATAAAAATATTCTTTATAAAAAACAACCTTTATTTCTAATTAATTCCCATCTCTCCCTTTTCCCCCCAAAAGCAAACTTTATTTCATTCCTATTATAAAACCTTTGTGTAAAAGCATAAAAATATTCAACACTATAAATATAGCATTATGCCTTACTTAATGTAGATATTTTCCTTCATATTTTTTTTCTGGCAAATATTTTTATTTCATCGTCTATCTTCTCTACCATATAAACACACTTAACATTGAAAATGTCAAGGAGTTATGTCCAAGGATGTTTCTATAGATATGGCTAGGAATTGAATGTCCTTTTCATATGTATTAACACATGAATTGTTTGAATGAATAAAATAGATGTGAATAAGTACAAACAATAAGCACCATTAATCATTCCAACAACTTCTTTGCTAAATAAGGACATTTTTTTTTTCAACTGGACACTAACTAACCCTTCGCATAATCTTATCTTCATTGTACAAACAATCCAACAGCTTGTGGTTAAGCTTAAAAAAAAATAAATTCATGTTTGTAAACACAATACCCAATAAAAAGTAATAAAACTGTATGAATAATAAAACTTTCACATGATTTAAAAAGAAAGATTACAAATTTCTCAGTATGGTGATAAGAGTATTTAAATGGACATTGTAGAATCGTCCCACTCTAAGTCTCCCATTTTCTGTTTTCTTTCTGTTTCCTCCTCCTCTGAACTATCGCTGTTGTCATGGTAACTACTGATATCATCTTCTGAATCACTGTCATCCTGTAATGGTTTACTGGCTTCTTCTTCATAATCAAATACCTGACAAATTATAAAAGAATATTCATAGGAATTTTTATCTCGAAGCAGTTACTTGTTTTAAATGACTTCTTTCCCTAATGCAAATATTCCTTAGCTATAGATCAATCTGGAGTTGTTTTTTATGAATAAGTTACACAGGTTGATCCGTGGTCTACCTACGCAAATGACATCATTGAACTATCTGTTCTTATTGTGACTTAATAACACAAGCACAGTGACATAGGAAATGAGCATGAAAAAGCACAAATTTGAAAGTCGTCTGATAGAACATTGTGTTCCTGTATTTCTACTGTACAACTGTGGATTCACTACTATTTGCAGGATAACAATGTTTGTGGATTTTGAGGGTACATGTGAATTAGGAATTTAAATGTTCAATCAAGTACAAATTTTCTATAGGATAGTTTGGGTACATGTGAATGAGGAATTCAAATGTGCAATCAAGTACAAATTTTCTATAGGCTTGTATACAGATTTTGGCAAAACCACAAGATAAAATATCCATGAAAACACAATTCATTCCTCATCCATGAAACTTGGTACCAACAAAAATAATAGTAATACAAGAAAAATATCAAAATCAAACTTGAAATTCACAACAGGCCAAATAAAAATATATGTGTGGTTCCATTTACATCCTGGAAAAAAAAAGGCTCAGTATGTTGGCACTTTTTTTTTTTTTTTTTCATTGGATTGTCAAAATCTAGAGAAAAAAATGTGTTTTCACCAAGTCCTTATTTAGTATTATACACACCCATACCGGAAGTTAACCATTTTATATATTTACTGTAAAATAAACAAAAATGTTACATTTTTAGTTAATTTAGTGACATTCTGTTAACCAATTGTTGCATTTTAGTGGATGGGGTTACATCTAATAGAAATTCAGATGATAGAAATCTGTGAATTTAATTATCAAAGTTCACATTGCCCAAAATGGGTAACTGGAACCACACATATATTTTCATTTGGCCTGAAAACATTACTGAGTAACATTTGTCTACTAAGTAAATATTTATAAAAAAAAGTATAAAACTGATTTTCGTGTGCTTGACCTATTTTTATGAAATAACCTCTACAGATGTATAATGTTACATAAAAAATAATACCTCTTTCTCCATTGGATTTTCGGTGATATTTAGTTCAGTATTGTCCCATTCCATATCTAATTTGTCTTCCACCTGGACAACTTGGGTCTTCCTGTGTGTAGCTCTAATCCTGATTACACCCAAGATAATCATAAACATCAGAAAACCAACACACACAACAATAATGGCTACCATACCAACATCTGAAATATAAATAAAGATATGTTAGCAACAAGGCATCAATGATTCAGGAACCTATATTAAATTCAGTTCACTGGTCTAATTGGAATTTTATTACATTAACATTTGTATAGCAATCTTTTCATCAACAAAAATTTTTTTTTTTTTTTTTTCTATCCACAAGTTATTTATAAATTACAGAAAAGCAAAATAAATTGCTTCGCTGAGCGCAGCTGTATACGACCGCAGATGTCCAACCCTGAAAAGTTGGGGCCAAAATGGACACAATATTCATGCTTGATACAGGTCTGAGTTTGGATTGTAATTAAATTTTTGACACTTAATAGGTTTCTGACACAGAATAACTGTAGTCAAAGAACTTCAAATTGGTTACATGATTTGAATTTATATTCAATTTTTTGCTTTTGTGCAATACCCTATGCGGAATTGCCCCCCCCCCCCCCAAAAAAAATTTACCCCGTTTTTTTGTGTTTGTGCAATACACTATGCTGTTGAATATTAACCCCCCCAAAAAAAAATATTTGAAGAAATTTTCTTTTAATTTCTGAAATCTGAAATGAGAAAAATTGTCCCCCTCCAATTTTTTTCACCTCCCTCCTTTCCCTTATTCCAAAAAATAATTCATTCCCTCAAGTTATGGTCAGTATCTCAGACAATCATCATTTCTTAATACATAATTTACAAGCAGTGTAAGGGAGGTAATCAAACATTGTTATTTAAATTGATTTGGATTTTGATTTGGATTACCTCCCTTACACTGCTTTTAAATTGTCTCAATTGTCCTTTAACCAGAAAAACCCTTGTTTTTTCCCTTTTTTGCCCCTAATTCCTAAATGGTTTGAGCCATAACCCCCCCCCCCCAAATTCAATCCTAACCATCCCTCTGTAGTATGGAAACTTGTGGTATAATTTCAAAGAGATTCATACACTTTAACACAAGTTATTGTCTGGAAACTACAAAAATGCTTATTTTGGCCCCTTTTTTGGCCTCCAATTCCTAATCAGTTGGGACCATAACCCCCAAAATCAATCCCAACCTTCCTATAGTGGTTATAAACCTTGTGTTAAAATTTTATTGATTTCTATTTACTTATACTAAAGTTATTATCCGGAAATCGTCTGTCTTCGGACGACGCTGACGACGACGACCACAATGTGATACCAATATACGACCAAAAAATTTTTAATTTTTGCGGTCGTATAAAAAGCAGTTAAACTAAGATCAGCTGTTTTTGTTGCTCAGTATTTAATAACTGGCATGTATTTGAATAAGTAAACAATCAAAATATTTCCACTATTATAGAAGAATAATTTATAATAATTCTAAAGGCAATAGCTATTCTTTTCAAAACTTGCTTCATCATTAAAAATTAAAATGCTAAATGGTAAAATTTTTATTTTAACTGACTATCCAAGATTTCAATATCCTAGCTATATACATACTTGGAGAGGAGCTATTAACCATTCCCATAGAGTTAACTGGCATGTTCATGTGTTGTGACTGTTGTACATGTTGCACAGATTTCTCAGCATGTGCAGCAACTGGCTGAATGGGTTCCTGGTGCATGGCTACAACCTGTAATGTAAATCAATCAAATGAAGAAGTCATCATTTAAAAATAATAGTATGATTTCAAAATGACATACAATGGAAAGCTCTGGGAAATCATGTCTGGTTGATTAAGTACTGTGGATTCATAATTATTCGTTGGACACCAATTTTCATTGATTTCTTGGGTACAGGTGAACCACGAATTTGAATGTTCAATGAAATTATAAATTTATCTATGTGTTTGTTTGCAGACTTTGACATAACCACCAAATCAAATATCTACGAAAATGTAAGTTTTCCTCAATTCATGAAAATTTGTACATATGAAAAACAAATGAATTCATAGTAACTATAAATTTTCCTCAATCCATGAAAATTTGTACCCATGAAAAACAAATGAATACATAGTAAGTATAAATTTTCTATCTGCTTGTATGCAGACTTTGTCATATCCAAGAAAATACATTTTTTTCTCAATCCATGAAAATTAGAACCAACAAAAATAAACAATTCTTAAGAAAATCTTATTAAGCAGTTAATATGGGCATTTGTTTTCCTGATAAAACCTTACTGTAGTGTATAAATTTGAATGTTTGTGTGTTTTCTGTTTTCAAAACAAAAGGGACTTGGTAAACAAAAGGGCAGATAAGTAGCCATCTAAACTTTGTTTTCATTTTATGCATAAATTTCAAAACAAAATACCATAACAGCCCTCATCCCCTGAAATAGCTCTATATAAAAATTATATAAAAAATCATTAATATTTTCTGAAACAAGAAAATCTAAAATCTGACTGGGAGGACTGTTATACATTTTCAAAATGGACTTTACCTTAGGAAGGAAAACTATATGTATGTCAACATTTTTCAGTGATGAAAAAGTTTTTAAAATAAAATTTGATAATTTATAAAAGAGTATGTTTAGAGTTTCATAATATTCTAGCAACATATAAACTTTAATAATGTGTTTGCATTCTAATGCTATTGTTAATGTCACCCTTTATTTTAATACACTTGCCTTAATGAGGAAATCATTACTGATAAATCTACCATTCTGTGATGAACAGCTGAGTACAAACTTTCTGCTGCTTAACATTTCAGCATTGTTATGGACATAAGTCACTCCTTGTAGGACTAACTCATAATTCTTCATCTTGTCAGCGTCTGTAATACACAACTCAATATGCAATCAAAGTATCAAAATATTAAATTATTGTAAACATTGATATTTACATGGGTTCTTATTTTAAATGCAATTTCAAATATAATTGAGAATGGAAACGGGGAATACATCAACGAGACAAAAAAACAGAACAAAGAGCAGAAAACAGCCCATAGCCGCCAATGGGTCTTCAACACAGCTAGAAAATCCCACACCCAGAGGCTGGCTTCAGCTGGCCCCTAAATAATAATGTATACTAGTTCAGAGAATGTCACACTAAACTCCCAAATGTATAAATGAACCAAAATTTAAAAAAAACTTACAAGACTAACAAAGTATAAACCTTTTGCACACAGGTTAAATTCTAGCATAATCCTTTTGCACACAGGTAAAATTTGTGCATAAACCTTTTGCACGGGACTTAAAATCCTGCATCAAATGAAAATGGTATCCTTCACATCATTGATTTTTACAAATTATTCATGCATTTGACGTGTTCATGAAATAAGCGAAAATACAGACTGAGTGAATAAAAAACCTAAATTGCTGAGTATCAGCACAGCTCATACCAGTAATATCAATAATAACTAATAATGATCAATCTTGTATGATGTATGATATGAACTTCAATATCCTCCATATTACACCATTGAATATTCTTATACAAGAAGTAATGTGATAAATATTTATTTTTGATTTTTATTCAAAACATATACCAAGTACACATTAGTGTCATCTGAAATATTGATGATGATGGCTGTTCCGTATTCAAAAGTCAACATCGATAAAGGAAGCATTGAATCAGAATTGATTTCCTAGATATTAGACCAAAAACATAAGATTTTAATAAATGATAGATTTCTTTTTGTAATTGTTGTACAATACAAAATATACCTTAGTTTCACCTGAAAGACTGTTGTTGAAAGGTTTTCCGTATTGGAAAGTTAACATCAATAAAGGCAAGTACATAGAGTTTTCTTGTTTGAAATACATAGAATATCTGACACTTTAATATTACCCATGTATCAAATATTCTCTTGTATCGTTCTTTAAGTGTATTGTATGCAGATTCCTTTATTTTCATGGATACAAATGTTTGGGGATTGAAGAAAAATTTCATCTTTGTGAAGACTTATTTCATTGTTTTAGCAAATTCTGCAAACAACCCTTCAAGATATAATAAAATCAACTAATAGAAGTAGCTCATAAATAACAATGACTATTCATATCATATATCCTTACTTGTAATTTGTAATCCACTGTTTGTTTCACTGGATTCTAATTTCATGTTGAATTGTGACATGATGTCTACAGGGACTGTCATATGCTCTACGTGGAAATCAAGTGGAGGCTCTGCTTTAATTGTACATCTGTCCAGTAGCAGGGCATCGTCTGGCACGGTTTTTTCTAATAAAATACATCATACATTTCTTCTTAAAGGGCACATTTCATCTATGCTAATTAAAGCTGTAAACCTTCTTCTTAAAGGGCACATTTCATCTATGCTAATTAATGCTGTAAACCTTCTTCTTAAAGGGCACATTTCATCTATGCTAATTAATGCTGTAAACCTTCTTCTTAAAGGGCACATTTCATCTATGCTAATTAAAGCTGTAAACCTTCTTCTTAAAGGGCACATTTCATCTATGCTAATTAAAGCTGTAAACCTTCTTCTTAAAGGGCACATTTCATCTATGCTAATTAATGCTGTAAACCAACTAAATTTCACAACTTTTGAAAGTGGAAAAATAACATCAATATAGATCATCGCCAATATGTAAAACTTGAATCTTTTCTTATTTAAATACATGTATGTTATGAAAATTAGAAAATCTCGGGCATAAACTGTCACAAAAATGGATAGAAAGGACTCAATACGAAAAAAATTGTCTGCGAAAATAAGGTGATTTACAATATCCAAAATTTAACAAGTTGACAAATAATCATCAATATCATAAATGAATATCAAATTTAGATTTGCATCTTTATATAGAATATAGAGTAAAATTCAAACTGTTAAAAAAAACTTTTAAAGTGTATTCTTGAACCTTTTTGTTATCCCGAAAATTTTTCAAATGTTTTGCCCTATTTTACTTTGAGCAATAGCACATAAAAACAACTACGGCAACACTATCTTCCGTAACATTTATCGATTCAGTTAGAAAATTTTCCAAAATTTGACATAATGGTTTTTTTTTAAAAAAAGAAATGAACTAAGCTTTACTAAGAAAAAATTTTATGCTTTACTGAATAGTATAAAATTGTCCAATCATAAAACAAAATAATTCTATAAAAACATGTCAAAAACAAGATATTCTCCAAAACCAAATATTTATTTATGCAGTAAGCACTGTTTTTGAAGACAAATAATCTAAACTGAAAAAGCAAGAAAGCTCTATAGAATTTGCTGCCCCATCACATAAGCATGCACTAGTAATTCTAAGAAAATGCACAGAGAATAACTAATTCAGTGTTTCTTTTTAACATCCTTATTGGAACTGGTTTAACATAATTTATTGAAAAACTTTAAAATTTGATTTTTTTTTAAAACAGTTTTTGAAAAATTATACACAATTTTGAACCATAAAATAAGTTCTGGCCTTGCAGTTACACAAATTTTGAGTATGATTACAGTAATCAGAGTTAGAATTCAACCAAACAAAATACTGGATTTGGTATTTTGAGCACAAATTTTGTACTTGGAGTAATGAGTAAAGCTTAAAGACCGAGAGTTCTGATCCTGTGCAGATTCCTTGAATACCGATGTGAAAATGCTTACGTTTGGTTCTTCTTGTCCTTACGTTACTGAGCCATACTTACGTAATTTTAATTTTTTCTCTAATTTCTTCTGCATCTTATAAGCTTTAGCTCTATAATTTAAATTATTTAAGTCGTCCTGAACCGCATTATTCCCATCATCCAAAATTTCATCCACAAAGTCACCTTGAATATGCATGTCGACATTGATGCCAATATCTTCAAATATTCTACGTCCAGCTTTCAGATCTTTGACGGAAGCATCTATATTTGACTTTCCTTGGATGGTTAAGGTTGGTTGAGCAGATTGTTGTACCATTATGTAACTCTCAGATAGAGGTAGAATGGTCTCTTTCTCTTTACATCTGGAAAAAAATTAAATGTATAACTATAGATTATTGATGGTTTTTCATACTAGAGGGTGTTTCTCAGATACAATCTCATCAAAGGGTGACAGCCCTGAGATAAAATGTGGCTGAGAAACAAGCTTAACTTTGAAAGACCGTTGATAAATTGTTTATAATAATTTTGCCTATGATGACATAGATGTTTATATTGACAATGGCATGTGCGTCCTTAGTTTCTAGCGATAATTTTCTATCTCAAGCAAGTAGCATGATATGAAAAATTTTCACAAAAATAGATCAAAGGAAAAATACCCAAAATAGAGATAACAGCAGATAATCTCTAATACAGTCAAATAATATTTTTGAAAGATATTTTGAGATTTAACTTAGTGATTAGCATATATTCTCTTCAGTCTCTTGAACTTCAGAGTTAAAGGTTGAACATGCATTGTCCCCATTTGGATAATATAGCAGAATTGCATTTCTTTATTTTAGCCTAGTTATACTTTCCTGAATGGTTTTTCATTTTATTCTTAAATTAATGTGAGATTCAATTGTTCTCGTTTGATCATTGGTCAAAATTCAATTATGATGTAATGTTTCTCTGCTTCTTTATGTTTTAGTTTAATACCAACAATTAATCAATCAATCAATCAATCAATCAATTTCAACTGTTAAATCTTATTTCAGAAATGATATTACAGAGAATGTGTTAGGAAAATTGGAATTGGGTTTTTTCTAAATAGAAAGTTATTTGTGTAAAGCATTTGTCAACCAATTAATAAATCAATCAATCAAAATATACTGATTATTGTAAAACAGATGTTTACTTTTGTAAAAATATATATGTATTTCCTACTCTTCAATTGGATTGTGTTTTATTACTTACAAGATAGAAGTCCTCATATCAATATTACGTCTGCCGGGTGTAGGATATCGTCTGGAGTTGATATATGATACTTCATGCAGCAGTCTCTCTACTTCAGTAATATTATGACTGGTAATACTGAACTCTGTCATTTCACTGTTGAAGCTTACAGACTGAAATTACAAATCAATTGTATGTACAACATTGATTTTGATGTTTATATTTCTGTTTTATTTCTCAAAGTATAAAATTTAACATTATTTGACTAGCATACTTCAGAACATCATATGTATCCATTACAAATTCAAATACATTTCAATTATTTTCATATATTTTGCATTCTGGACAATCTCATCATAATTTTTAATAGCATCAATAAATGCAGAATTTTGATTTTAAATAAAATTCTTTTTTTTTTGGGGGGGGGGGGGGGGGGGGGCAAATTCTGGGCAATTTAAGCTTCTAATTGGTGCTTTTTCCCAGAAAAATTGACCTCAGAAAAGCACATATCTTTAAATCACAATATCCAATGACACGTTTTCCTCCCAAATGATCCAAATGACCCATCAGAATATCGTGTATTGTAAATTCACTAAAGACAAGAAACTTTAGAACAAAACAAAAGACAACTGTTTGTGTTCTGTTATTAATCAGGCCATTGGTCTCCTCATATGAATTGTTTCTCATTTTGTCATGTTGGGGCCTTTAAAAGCTGACTAGGGGTTTTGTTTATTGTTAAAGGCCCTACTGTGACCTATAGTTGCTTACATCCAAGTCATTTTGACTCTGCTGGATAGTTGTCTCATTGGCAATCATACAACATCTCATTATTTTAATACCAACAAGGTTCCTGATTTGGACCAGGCACATGACCATGTGGCAGGGTTATGTTACCTGTGAAAACTTATACTTACTGTACCACTTTCCATTTCTGACAGAGCATGAAATTCTAAGTTTTCTTTACAGTCATTTAAACATCTGATAACTCTTTCACTCTCTGTTTTATCCTTCAGTATAGACAATCCAGCTAAATATCCATGGAAATATTTACCAAATTCATTTTCTTTTCCTGCAAAAAATATGTAAATAATCTTTACAATAGATGTATTTACACTTGTATATAAATTTGTTCACCATTACATAAAATTTGACATCACAATTTAAAAAATTTGACGTCACAACTAAAAAGTGATTGTTGCTTGACGTCAGAAGGTTATTCGAAGCAGATCTAAGGTCATTCAGAGACAAAATTCAGCTAAATACAAAAAGTGTAAATACGTTTATTACAACCACTGATCTACAATTTGTACAATTTTATCAAAATGGAATTTAAAGCATTTTTTTTACTTTTCTATTTGATTTACTGTGGATTATTTTTGTGAATACCAATTTTCTTGGATAAGAGGGAAAATTGTAGTTTCTTAGATATTTGATTTTGTGGTTTTGACAAAATCTGCATACAATCCTATGGTTAATTTGTACTTGGCTGAACATTTGAATTTTTTGTTAACCTATAAACACAGAATCAAAGAAAATTAGTATTCCACGAATTATAATTGAATCACAGTACTCTACTTTGAATGTGGTGTTCCTTTGTCTTTGTATTTGTACATCTATTTTCTTGGAGGAGTCAGTGGTTGGTGGGGTATGTTGTACCATCCAATATTTCTTGTATCCTTTCCATGTATTATTGTTTTGGTTATTATAAGCTTATTTTGCCCATTTTACAATTTCAAAATCTGAATATTGAACTATTACAAATGTAACATAAATTATGCGCAAATGTTCTTCAATATTTAATTTCCTTCTTACCTTGCCAACAGGCTCCAACAACAAGTTTTGTAAAATGGACTTTCTTTGAATTATGGATTGGCCAGTCATCTAAGATTTCTTCATTAGAAGTATCTGGGATCAGAAGCATACCATCGATATATAATCTAACCTAGAAATAAAATGACCAATATTTAATTAAAAATCTGGGAACAGTAACATCCCATCAATATATCATCAGGGCCTCGGTGGCCGAGTGGTCTAAGTAGTTACTACTGTAATCACTAGCCAGTTAACACTGAGGTTGTGAGTTCAAACCCCGCTCGTGCGGGTGCACTCGACTCCAATCTTAATTGACTAGGATTGTCAGTTTTCCTATCGATGGTCGTGGTTTTCCCCAGGCACTCCAGCTTCCTCCACCAATAAAAACTGGCCGCCACGTAATAGCCCAAAAGCAGTGATTAAAAGTGGCGTTAAAAACACAAAAAATCAAAAAATCAAAATCAAAATCAATATATCATCTAACCGAAAAACAAATAACCAATATATATAAGTACTTAAATTAAATCATTTTATTTTTCATATCCTCTTTTTTCACCTCATTTTCTCTATTTTACTTACATTCTTATCCTCAATTTTTGCCAAAAATTTAAGACATTTTCTTTGGAAAAAGATTCCTCTGATATTCCAGACTTACTAGTATCTTGGTATACATGTACATTCACAGCCCAACATTATCTGTTAAACTTATCAATACTTCAATTTTCGTCGACATTTAATATGTGTGCTATTTGTTCTGTCAAATCAAAGCCACCGTAAACTGAGTAAATTAGTTAAATACAAGGATCAGGAGGAAATGTATGTTTGGTATTGAAACAATATATCACGATTCTAATCAGGCACTACCAATCAAGATGTTAGTTAAACATGAATTGTCTATACCTGATTAAGAAATATTCCCAGGTGATTTAGGTCTTAGCTAAATTTATGTGAAAATCATCTATGTGCACGAAAAACATTTCCTATTTAGGAAAAATAATTTGTTTGCTTATAAATATAAATACACTGTGGAGTTTCCTATTCAAATTGATTTCCATAAGACAATCCCCAGATTGGGATATTTTCATGCTTTGGTGCCTCCAAACATTTTAATTTAGAAAGCCAATGACTGCTACAAGTCTTAAGATTAAATAACAGTTATAATATGGCAACTAACACCACTTCTAATTAAGGTAGATAAAACATTTGTTGACAAAATCTGATGATGTGATGTTTTTCATATCGTAACTGTCATTTATAATTGGAAGAAATTATAATTGGTAAAAAACAAGCATCAAATGAAAGAAATGACAGTATTCGTGAACTATGCACTAAATTTACAAATAGTGGTATTACCTCAGGGAAGTCCACACTGACAGCATAATGATGCCACTCGTTATCATTGATCTGTGGTATGTGCCACCTCCACTCAGCTGGTTTAAACACATCCATGTCCGTTTCATCCTCTGCTTCACGTCTCAGTAAGAAAACAAATTTCTCTCCATGTACAAACATGGAATAATGATGTCTGTCCATTCCTGTTAACATTTACACATGTAATATTATAATCATTTCAATTATAAAAAGTGTTAAATGCTTGTAAAAATTGTGAATGGCTGTCCATTGTTGCAAGTTGTATGGAAAACTTTAGATATTAATAAAAGGAGATATTGGGTGTATATGCCACTGAGGCAGTGATCCAACAAAACAGAAAGCTACAAAAATTATTTGCACATCAATTCTTATCAAAATGATATGTAAAGATACTATCTTAGTGCACAAATTCCATCTAGATGGCTTTTTTCATCAACACAATATGTTCAGGTGCTGTCTCGTTGATGTTTACTCAACATCTTCTTCTTCAAGTTAATACAAAAAAGTTGATAAACATGTGTAATATGAGGCATCAAAATATGTTTTTTTTTAAATTGGTTCTCTTTACATTTTAAATCTAACATAACCTGACAAATTCTACCTTAAAATTGAAACTGAAAGTAAGAGAATATTGTTAAATACTCCTGTAACAAGACAAGAAACCTAATCTTCTTCCACTCAAACAATTACATGATTATTATTTGATTCTATATCTATGTTTATTATGTCATATCTGAAGAACACCAGTTTACATGAATTTTATCTTTTCCATATTGGCTAGGCCACACATTTCAATTGCTGTCTCTTCTTTCATAAAAAAAACTTGTATAGATGTTTATCTGAGTTTGCTTTCTTTTATCATTTCTGTTCAATGGGATAACTAGAGTATACAAGCTGGAATTGTGCCACATGATGTGGAGCAGGATATGCTTACCCTTCCAGAGCACCTGTGATCACCTACAGGTTTTGTTGGAGATAGTGTTACTCAGTCTTTAGTTTTCTGTGTTGTGTTTTGTAGACTGTTGTTTGTCTTTTGTGTGTGTTTTTTTTTGCCATGGCGATGTCAATCGCATATGAGTCTGAATATCCCTTTAGGTATCTTCCCCCTCTCTTTTGCCACTCATATACCCCCCCCCCCCCCCCCCCCCCCCCCCCCGGACTTGGCATATGTCGAACGAGTAAAATCCTCCTCATCTGTGGTGCATTCAGCTGTGTTTAATCTTTTTCAATGAAATACACACTTAAATACACACTTTAATGCACACTTGAAAACAAAAAATCTTACCATCCCCATCACTGTTACATAAAATATGTTCCTTTTGTGTCTTCTTTTTTGATTCTGTGTCTTCTGAAAAAGTGTGTTTCATCCATGTAGAAATTGTAAAATGTTTGTGTAATGTGTGGTTGAATGAAGCCTTAGGGACCTCAACAGCATTTGTCTTTCCATCGAAATAGAAGATCTGGTCACTTTCCTTGCCGTCATCAGTGGGCAGATTTTTGGTCCATCCTGTACCCACTCCCGGAGATGGTAATAAGTCTATACTCTCACCACTGGCACCTGGAAAATAAAAATATATATGCCATCACAAAGGGGAAAATGTTAAAAATAAATCAAAAATTAAACAAGCATTCTGAGAGTATTGCATGGCAATACATAGTTCCCTACCGGTTAAAATTTATTGTACTGAAACAAAATGCTGACTTAATCTATAACTTGTCATGTTGTAAACTATATAACAAATATCAAGTCAATATCTCCAAGCATGACGAAAAAAAGTGTGGAAAACTGATTGTTTAAATGAATTTTTTAAGTCCAAGGACCATAACTCTGCACAAAATCATCAGACCGGAACAAAATTCGAACTTGATCTGAAACTTGTCATGATAAAATAATATACCAAATATCAAATCAAATATCTTCAAGCATAAAGAAAAAAGGTGTGGAAAACTGATTTGCCAGACTGACAGACAGACAGACAGACAGACAGACAAAACTGATTTGCCAGACAGACAGACGGAGTGCAAACCTAAAGTTCCCTTCAACTTTGACTTTGTCTGTAAGGGACTAACAAAACAATAACACTACTGTGGACTCATTTACTGCCGTAGTACCAAATTTTCGTGGATAGGGAAACATTGTGTTTCCATGGTTTGAGCAAATTCTATTAACAAGCCTTTAGGGAAATTGTATTTCGTTGAAGTCTAAAACTTGTGGTTAACCGATTTCATGAAATCTATGAAAATTAGTTCCCTATTAATGAATCCACAGTAGTCACGCCCATTTGTTGCAAATTTAAATGATAACTTTCTACTACAGCAAAAAAATTTATCACGAGAGGGGTGCGACTAAAGTGATCTACAAACAATGAATTTTTGATACCACAGATGCAGAAAATACAACTATATATACAAATAAGATGATGTGACACCTTAAGCATTCAGCATGACAATATCATAATACAACTAAAAGAAATTGGATTAATGTACTTTAAATTTGAATTTGAATTTGAAAATCTAGAAATACAAACATCAATTATGCAATAGGTCTACATCTTTCATGATCAGATAATCAATATTTTGTCAAGAGTATTAGTATTGTCACATTCCACAATGAAAATGGTTCCAGTACTACAATCAATAACTATCCTGATCATACCTGCCAACATTTCAAAATGCCCAAGGGGGTTTTACATGCAAGATGGCTCTCATAGTCCTAAAAAACCTTTAAAGGGGCTTTCAAATTTATTTCAATGTTTGTTTATTTGCTTCTTCATACTTTTATAATCCTATATTCATGGTAAAATTGATTGTTTTGTTTTAAATTGTGGACAAAATTGCTCTTTCAAATTTACCAATTAGGAGCCTTCATGGGGGAAATCCCCTGCAAATAGTGACAGTTGGCAGGTATGCCTGATAATTTCCTTTTAAAGACCTATAAGATACATGACAGTTCTTTAAAAAAATTTCCTTTTCACAAATTTCAAATGTGAATGACTTACAATACATAAACAGAAGGTACAAAAGTGCAATCTTATTCTATAAAACATATTCTGATGGACTATATCTTAGCAACCAATAAGACTTCAATTCCTGCCTACAACCTGGACAAATCAGTCAGAGAATTCAATACAATTACTTATTCCACCATACAAGTCAAAATATTTAATTCAGAGATTCAGAAAAGTAATCCCAGGTCTAGCAATAGCCATTGTAAAATGACTAAAATCATTACACAATGAAAAGCGAACATGTTGTATAGACACCTGTCTTTTGGATAAGACCATATGTTGAACTATGGCTTTTGGTTTTTTTGTGTTGTTAGGTTGCTTCCTCATTGGCATAAACCCCACATGTCATTTTATCCATATCATCATGTTATTGTGCCATCCTTTGCATTTTTCCATGGCAATGTTTTCTTACAAAATTTTCTTGTCTTGATGTTTTTGAATTTCAAAATCCAATAAAAGACTTTGGTATATTCCTGTCCCAAGTCAAGAGCCTTTAATTCAGTGGTTGTCGTTTGTTGCTGTGTATCATATTTGTTTATCATTTATTGTTTTGTACATAAATCAGGCCGTTAGTTTTCTTGTTTGAATTGTTTTACATTTGTCATTTCAGAACCTTTTATAGATTTGTAATACAGTATTAATTTTGCTCCTTGTTGAAGGCCATACAATGACCTATAATTGCTCACTTATGTCATTTGATCTCTGGTGGAGAGTCGTCTCATTGGCAATCATACCACATTTTTTTTTTTCAATAATAAAACTGAAGTGATCCTTACCACATAGTTTCCTCTGTGAAGCTATAGAGTACGTGTCTCTATCACATCCTTTACCGATATGTTTTGTAGCCAGATGCATCTTTAGGCTGACTTTCTCTGGCACACAGGCATCACACCAATCCAGGCTGGCATGAGGAGCTATCTTCTGGGCTCCAGACTGGGGCAAATATTCCATTGCTGATGGAAAATCTGTAATAAAATAAAATTGCCTTTGAAAATGATTTTTCAAAATCTTAAAACTACAACTCTTTGCTGCTGTATAGCTGTTTGTAACTTTATTAATTAACAAGATAATCCAGGAACCAATGTCTGAAACAATTATTAAGGGCCAATGATATCATAATACAACTTTTTTAGTGATATTTATTATTTCTGTTCTATCTTTTAGGTTTTTTTATTGTTTTGTTTTTGTTTTGTGTTGTTTTGTGTATCTTTTTGGGGTTTTTTTGGTGTGTGTGTGTGTGGGGGGGGGGGGGGGGGGGGGTCCAGTTTAAATTCTTTAATATGCTGAGTTAAAAAAAATAGCAAACAAATTAAGATGTGCATTCAATTATGAATATATATTTTTTATTTTGTGTTTAATCTTAATTTTTTATCTTTTCTTTAGTTTCTTTTCTTTGGTTTGTTTTTAGTTTTTTTTAGTTAAAATGCCAAAGCTCAATCCAAAATAGGAACACTAAGCCAATAGTTCTTGTTAAGATGTACTGTTCACTGAAGTAGGGGTTAGTTCTTGTAATACATGTAGCTTCCATTAAATATCTTATATGATCTCACCTTTCCATCCATTTTTACAGACTTCCTTAACTCTGATATTGATAGAGATTGGTTTAGATTTCTTGCCTCCACAGTCTTTGGCCACCACTTGTATAATGTAGCTATGCATTTCATTGTAATATAATGCCCTTGTATTCTTAACAGTTCCTGAAAAATATAATTTAATTCTTTTAAAAAAGTAACTTTTTATCCAAAACTTTTGAGCATCTATGTCAATAGACCTTCTTATAATTATTTCTAAATTGATTTTTTTTCTTTAAAACTGTGAATTTCTAATTATTCATCATGTTCATGAGTACCAATATTTGTTGTTAAAAAAGGAAACCACAAATTCAAATGTTCAACCAGTGTTCTCCCCAGGGCCTTTTAGCATCAATGTAATGTGATGCTATATTGCTAGAATGTGATGTTATCTGAATTGGTTTTCTTATAGATTATGTTATGGATGTGATGTTATAATTTTTAGAAACAAGATGGTATTTCAATTCCCCCTGTTTACCAGGATGCTAAATGAAATATCTGAGGAGAACACTGGTTCAACAACTTATAAATTTTCTATAGGTTAATATATACAAACTTTTTCAAAATCAAATATCCACGAAAATACGACTTTTTCCCAATCAATGAAAAATCAGACACCCCCCACCCAAAAAAAAAAAAACTGAATCCACAGTATGTGGAACATGTCATATTCAGCTTTATTTTCAAAATCTCTAAAGATGAAATCCATATTTTATATACAGCCTTACATGGATAAGGATGGGCATCTAAATTCTTCAGAATATTTGGGTTTTTTTTTCAGTTCAGAGAAAATCTATACCCAAAACCTCCCATTATTTACAAACCTCATTATCCTGCTATAACAAAACTGAGCATTCTGCTATAATCTCAAACATCTAATTACATGTACTTATTTTGTCATGTCTGTTGTGTAATTGTTATGTAAGAAATGGCACTTTCATTGATATCCTAAGTGTTAACAATTAAAATTGGTAATTGAAATTATGAGATACATTACAAAACTAATTATTTATTGTCCTGAAAGACGACATTAGCATCAGGACAATTATGGTAAATTTTGCCAACTCCGCAAAATGACTCATCCAAAGTGATGAAACTGGAAAAACATCCCCCATAGTCATGATAGTATTTGATTAGAACTATTACAGTTTTACCTCATTATGACAACTAACAGAGGAGATACGTTTCACTTACAGAAAACATTGTTCTTAAAATCAATATTTAGAAAAAACAAACTCAAACTTCTGCACACGTACAATGTTACAAAAGGAGTAAGTTCGATAAGGCCCCTATATGGCCGCTATTCAATTTTTTATTTTTCGGCCAATTAGGATTTAATGGGTGTTTTCACAAAGAATTACAGTTAAAATAATGACTAAATAGAAAATAAGTTTGCTTTAAATGACATCAAAATTAGCATAGACTGCAAAATTCTGAGAAAATGCAGCTTTCCATCAGAACATAAATTGCATAAATTGACAATAAGGTTTGTTAGAACACATCTAACTTGAATACTTATATTGTTGAATCTTGGGTATTTCACTTTCTAGACAGATAAAACAGGATATTTAGTCAGCTTTCATCAAAATCTAATTTTTTACCCTTTTAGAGTGTAAATGTTAAAGCTACAAAAATCATTCGATTTTACTTTCTAACATGTATATGCATTAACTCGAAACAATTTAATGGACTAAATATTTGAGGCAAATTAGGGCCCATACCCTACTCATGTAACCCTATTAAAAAATAAAAAGGTAACTATTACAATTTTTCTATTCGAATAAAAAAAATTAAAAAATACCCCTAAGCAGACATACATGACATAATGATTCTTTAGAAATCTTATCTACCTATCCTATAAGGAATATGTCATACAAAAACATAATCACATCATAAAACAGAAAAGTTCATTGCTTTAAAGAGATGAATGACAGTTCTTGACAACTCATCTACGGCAATAAAGAAAATAATCCTCAGAATGAAGATATTCATACCCCCATCCCATTACAATTTCAGACGTACTTCTATAAATACAAGAGATGAGTCACATTTCTTTAGATCACAACATTCATTGATCCTAAGCCATCAATATAACTTCACGATTCGTATTCAATTAGTATACCAGTGTCTATATCATTGGTAATTTCAAAACAAATCAATATGACGCTGAATTTGTTTTTTCTGTAGTACTCAGAGTTGTACCGTCTAATAATAATCATGATAATAGTACTTAATAAGGATATAGATGCCTTCTGAAGAAGCCAAAAAGTACTTAAAATAAAGATTTAGTTGCCTTCTTAAGCCTTAAAGTACTTGGACAGCATTTAGTATGATCACCTCAGCTCTAGGTCAATGCTTGATTAAGTATTTGATGCTAAAAGGTTTCTAAATAAAATTAGCCTGTAAATAATTGCTTATATATGTGTCCATAAACACGATAAATGAATTTCCTCCCAACACATGACTGTAAACAAGTCATGTCAGTCAGTATCTCTTTTCTTTGAGATAGAATATCCCAAATATTGTATTTTACTCTAAACTACGAGTCTATACTACTTATTCAGTGGCAATTTTTTATGAGCCACAACTCCTCTGAAACTGAAATCGCATAAACCTATATGTGGCCTGCAAATTGTTTCTACAATATTAACTCTGAAATTTCGAATCAATCATTTTTCAGTCTTTATTTTTTGTTAAAAAAATTCCAGAATCATGAGCCTTTATTCATGTTATTTGACACATTTATATTGTTATGTGCATGCATAATGGCTTTATGCACACATGACTTCTGGGATCAGCAAAGATATGACTCAACTCAAATAAAGTACCCCAATGATAACGCACCAAGCATACTAACATATGTCATTCTGAATGATATAAAATTGGACAAAAAATCACCATAGGTTTCCAACAACAACTCATAACATTGCTAATTTAAAAGTCTAAAAGAAAATATAAATGGTCCAAAAACAAATGGAATTTGGAAGCAACTGGATTTGACATTCATAGCTAACTAATTTGTTTTCAATAATTACTACACATACATGTACTTATTCAGATGACAATGACTATTCCAAATATCAATAAATTGCTTCGCTGAGCGCAGCTGGATACAACCGCAGATGTCCAACCCTGAAAAGTTGGGGCCAAAATGGACACAATATTCACGCTTGATATAGGTCTGAATTTGGATTGTAACTAAATTTGCTTTTGTGCAATACACTATGCTGTTGCGAATTGAACCCCCCCCCCCCCCAAAAAAAATTAATTTTACCCCGGTTTTTGGCTTTTGTGCAATACACTATGCTGTTGAATATTAACCCCCAAAAAAAAATATTTGAATAAATTTTCTTTTAATTTCTGAAACCTGAAATGAGAAAAATTGTCCCCCCTCCAATTTTTTTCACCCCCCCTTTTCCCTTATTCCCCAAAAAATGTCTTTCCATCAAGATATGGTCAGTATCTCAATTCAAATTTCTATTGGAGTTTGTAACCATAACTACCCATTTAAATACATCATAAAAGTTTTAAAATATAAAATGACATACATAGTCATGGCTAAAATTAATATTTATTAATAGTAACTGCTAAAGATAAATTGACAGCTAATCACCTCAAGACAATCATCATTTCTTCATACATAATTTACAAGCAGTGTATGGGAGGTAATCAAACAGTGTTCTTTAATTGATTTGGATTACCTCCCTTACACTGCTTTTAAATTGTCTCAATTGTCCTTTAACAGGAAAAACCCTTGTTTTTCCCCTTTTTTTGCCCCTAATTACTAATTGGTTTGAGCCATAACCCCCCAAAGTCAATCCTAACCATCTCTTTGTAGTATGAAAACTTGTGGTATAATTTCAGAGAGATTCATATACTTTAACACAAGTTATTGTCTGGAAACTACAAAAATGCTTATTTGGGCCCCTTTTTGGCCCCTAATTCCAAAACAGTTGGGACCATAACCCCCAAAAGCAATCCCAACCTTCCTTTAGTGGTTATAAACCTTGTGTTAAAATTTTATTGATTTCTATTTACTTATACTAAAGTTATTATCCGGAAACCATCTGTCTTCTGATGATGACAACGATAACGACGACGTGATACCAATATACGACCAAAATAATTTTTGCGGTCGTATAAAAAATTTTTTTTTATTTTCACAGTCATATAAAAATAATATTTACTGAACATTGAGAAATTTTGATGTGCATTTATTATTGAGATTGTTGCATAATGGACACAACTGGCAGATTAATTTAATATTACGATTTCAAGAAAGGCAGCATAGAAATAATGCGATCAAAGTTAAATTGTTAGGGTATTTTTTTGTTAAACCTCTATCACATGGCAATTTTCCCGATAATGAAAACATCCAAAATATTTCTACATTTGCAGTATCCAATTTACACTTTTGATCCGGTGGGTGTTATCTCGTATATCTTTAAGGAGGAAGAAATGACCAGATTTAATCAACTAAACTTTCTATGACCTCACCTTCGTAAGTCTGCTAAAATTTCATAATCAATAGCACAAAAATATCATTAATTTAGACTGAGTTTTACACCTAGCAATATTAATTTATCATTTTATTGTTGGTAATTACTATCTCCTATATCTATTCTCCTGACAATGAATTTCCATGGTTACTAAAGATACAACAAGGACAGTGACCATTACAACAGAAAACTGTTATTTCTCAAAGATTCCTACTGCCATGTTAAATTAATCAACTGTGCTTATTCCATTGTATTCCATAAGCTTTTGTAAAAATAGCAATTGGCTAATGTGATTTTTCCAAGTTGCAGTTTGGATTCATTTCTTCATATTGATATTAAAACTGGTGAATATTTTACCCCATTGCCAGCAAAATTTTATCTAATTTAATTTTTTATATTTTGTTATTTTTGTTAAAACTTACAATGTGCATATTATGCAAAAATCAGTTCATCTTTATATTTTAGAAAATTTGCTATAGATTTTTATCAACAATGTATTAGTTGATGCATCTAATCTTAAATTTTCTTTTTTAATGTTTTTCTGCTGATACCTATTGGACCTACACCTACAAAATATCAAATTGCTACACATGTAGTACATTTGATAATCGTTGAATTATGTGGTTTTACTTATTCCTAATATAGAAACATTTTGGAAATCTGTCAAAAAAAAAATACTCATTAGTAATTCTGAATTATGTATATTATAAGCAGACATGTAGTCTGAGCATTACAAATGCAGCTACCCTGTACTTGCACTTGACCTAACCATTCCTTTATACAGTATACTGAAATTAACACATATATGTGTTTGAAACATTAAATTACCCTCATTATCAACTGAAAATGGCACTCCTGGTGTGATAACTTCATATGAACAGATTTTCCCATATTGTTGAGATTCGTCTTGGTCTATTGCCTGAACTTTAACCAGGGAATCGTATAACTTCCCTTCTCTTAAATCAGCAAACAAATTAGTTTTCTCAAACTTGGGTGAAAATTCATCCACGTCTAAAACTTTTACAAAAACAACAGCCCTGAAATATACAATAAGTAAATGATACTAAGATTAGTGTTTGATCAAGCTATTCTCTTATGATTTGACACATTACTGTAAATTCAGAAATTATTGCCTGCATTTTTTATTGGGATTTTTGAAGAAAGGACAAAAATGAGATATTTATTATTACGATTTCAGGAAAATCTGCATACACTTCTATGTATAATTAAGATATCAGAATGTAAGTTCTTAGCATTGCTATTATCACCCAGTTGCATTTTTCACAACAAAAAAAAACCTCGCAAAAAATTTTGAATTTACAGTATATAATATAACAATACTTGACTCCAAATGCACCTATGTTTCTACAATTGCTACTTCAATTATAAGAGATCTATGAATCCTAAACACATCCGTACACAGGGGTGCTGGAGATGAACCCCCTAAAATAATATTATCAGACTATTTAAATTGAGATTCAGATTGAAGGTTGGCTATTCAAGTCAGAGTGTCATCAGGGGTATTGTCTTGGTACATATATGTTACAGTCACTTTCAAATGAAATTATTAGGTTAATAAACCAAGTTTATTTTTGTGTTTTAATCTTTCCACTTTTAACATAACAATCTGTCTGGTTCTCATGTAGTCTGAAGTGGCTGCATATTCATGGATCTTACACAACTACAAAACATGTGCTAAACCTTATTTTATTTAAGAGTATTTTTACATCTTGCACAGTCAAATGGCTTAATTCTATTTAAAACAAGAAAAATTCTTGCATGCAGGAAGCAATTTTCTAAAGTTGAAACATAAGAAGTAAATCTACCATAGAGTGAACTGAATAAACCTATCCCACTTTATAAATTTCAATTTCAAAATATAAAAAAAATCAATACGGTTTTTCCCCCCTCAAATGCATATGTAACAATCTAAATAAAATTGAAACTACTTGAAAGAGAATTGTTAAACACAGGAATAGTTTACATGTATGTTGTAAATCTTTTTGATCGAATAGCATATAGATTTCTATGAATTAATAATTATCATATGCTAAATACAAATTTTCTATGAAAAGTGTATAAACTAGCTTTAGATTATGATAGTGGAAAGTGTACATAATACTCTGGATTATGACAGTCCTTTAACATTTGTTTCATCAGTATTTTACATGTATGTTGGCTGTTTGACCATTAGATTTTTATTTTTGTATAATACTTTTGAGTTTTCACTAAACAGCATAATTTTCCATTCCAAATGATCTCATAGGTGCAGATCTTAAAACTACAATTAACAGCAACTATTTATGAAACCATAAAAATCATTTTCATTAAAATAAAGTGAATTTATGCTGTATACATGCTTCATTGTGTGTTTGTTATTGTAGTTTTTTTTATCTATCCGTGCTAGTTCAATATTGGTTTCAATGGTTGAAAAACCCTTAAATTGTTAGAATGAATACCAGTACTAGTAGTCTAGCAGACTAAATGGTATGTGTTTTTTCTCATTGCTGAAGGCTGTACGGTTACCTATAACTGCTTACATGTATATCCACTTCATTTGAACTCTGGTGGATGGTTGTCTCAATGGCAACCATACCACATCTCGTTAGCAGATATCAATTCTGTTAGAACTATTTGATGCTCAAATTAATTTAAAACAAAATAAACGTCATACATCAATAATTAATCTAATCATGAAGTTTGAATATTGCATTAATTTTCACAGATGAAGATGCAATAATTCTGATTATCAAGACGTAGAATCCTGAAAGACTTTGGAATTAAAAAGATAAATTGTGATAATTAGTGTCTCCTTGACAGCAAGATTCCACAGTTCTTTTGAAAATAAATGGCTGTTATCAACATTTAACAAATCTTCCACTACACTCTGGTATATATATTGATTTCCAATTATTTAATTATTTGAAAATGACATATTCTAATGGATTTGTATGATTTTAAATTTTAATAGTTTACACAGCTCTTGGCGACAATTTAAATTACACTTGATCAAACAGGATAACCTGACCGTGCACAATTAGAAATTCAACTGTTTGTACTTTAATGTACATGTATGACTGTCTGTTGAAGACAAGAATAAGTAAGTTCCAATTTAAATTTTTTTGTAAAAAAGGGGGGGGGGAGTGTAATTAACACCACCATCTATTTATTTATGCCATTTCATCATTGTACATTATATAACTGGAGGAAACTACCAACTACATCCACACACCCTGTTAAATAGTTATTAATATTAGTTATAATTAGCATAATTTCTCCCTTTGTTTAAATACCATACTAGAAATAGCCTTTAATTGAGGTCAAGAAAAAATGATTTATTACTGGTTTTAATAAGCCAACCAACCCTCACTCCCTCTTTTATCTTTTTATATTCAAAATGAGGGAAAAAATTGTGCCATTTCTGACTCAAACTAAATCATTCCTCTTGTCTGTTACAAACTGCAGTATAAATGTCATTGAATTTTAAGTTAAAATTTGATGACGAAACATCTCGTTTTGTTTTTTGTTCTTATCTGAGTATCATACTTGTTTTTACCTGATCTTGAAAAACAATACCAAGATAACCATCAACAACGGAAAAACAATTTGGAAAATTTTGCATATTTACACAAACATAATGTTAAAGTTTATATGATAATCTTAGTTAGGTAAAAAATATCTATCCAAGCAGCCATACCCCCTTTTGGGGTTCTCAACTAAACTGAAAAATCCAACATTTGTTTTGACTCATACATGTAGGTGTCAACTTGAAACGCAACTTAATTATATATACTGATGCTAATATAAGTATTGCTTTATTTTTACCTGTCTGATTCTCTAGCAATCTCTCCACAATCATAAGCTACAACTGAGAATTTATATCTTATTCTTTTCTCAAAATTCAGTTTCTGTCCTTCTTTCAATCTAATTTCAGCTGTGCCCTTTTTTCTGTCTATCATTTGCACTGTAAATGGACAGTTGTGTTTGGCTGACAGAACTCTGTATCCACATATTATTTCTGAAAAATAAAACATATATTTGGTTAACACCTAATAATGACATCATTAGATGTTTTACATTGATTCAAAAGGTCTAAGATTAGTTGCAGACATATGGTCCAGTATTTTTTTCTTGATCAACCAGTGTTTTATTGGACCTTTACAATATTTATTAGTTTAAGTGTTTCTCAGTTTAAACAGACATGATTAAGTACATGCACAACCTTAAAAGCCTCACATGGGCCCAAACATTTGTTTTAACAGGTGGTGCAGATGTTTGTTCAGAGGTCTATTGTCATTTATTCAGAGACCAAACATGTGGATTCATTTATTTTCGTGGATTAAAGAAAAATTGCATTTACATGGATATTTGATTTGTGGTTTTGCATACAAGCTGATAGAAAATTTGTACTTCCTTGAACAGTGAAACTCGTGGTTCACCATTTACCCACAAAATCCTTGAAAATTGGTATCCCATGCATAGTAATTAATCCACCGTAAACCAAGATAGATTTGACAAACATTTTGTTTTCTTCCACTGATCCCTTATAGTTAATTCATTTATTAAGGTTTTCTACCAATCCCGAAGTACATTCCAGAAAAAAGGCTTAATACATACCTGCCAACTTTTCAAAATTTCATGGGGGATTTTAAGCGAAAAGAGGAACTAATGCTCCTCTGTTATTACCATAAGTGTTTTTAATATACTTCAAAATTGTTTGAATGATTATGTATGTGCTTAAATACCCTTTTATCTCATTTTAATGTCTGTTTTGAGGTGTTCAAGTTATAAAATAATGAATTTCAAAATACAGGTTGTCAGAGACCTCTCATAGGGGATATCCCCCATAAATCGGGATAGTTGGCAGGTCTGTTAATAACAAATTATCTTCATTTAAACATAAAACTTCTTGCATGTGCAAGTCATCCATGGACTTGTTTACTAACTCTATGTTTTTGAACAACTTGACATGAAAATGAACCCTCTATATCTTCAATCAATTTGGTTAAAAAAAAATCTATAAAATAATCTGTTTACAAAAGATAAATCTGTAGCTTAAGAAATGTCATATTTTCAAACAGAACGACAACCTAACCACAAAGAGTTCCCCAAATGATCATATATCATATATCCTCAGTCTGCGACTTGCCTAATGCTCCTTTGAATTATTGCAGTAATTCTTGATCTGTTGATTTTATATCATTTATTATGGTACATAGCTTCAGGTGACAATCGACCAATAATTGTTCACTGTCAGTATCCATGCCTGATTAATTCTATCAACTTAAGAAAATATTCAATCTTTCTTAGATTTCACGTTTAAAATGTCAACAGGCTAAAAACAAAAATATTGTGTTATTATCTTAAACAACTTAAGACCTTAAAGGAATTTGCTATCTCCAAGTGAGAGTTAGGATGGTAAATACGTTTTACAAGATCAATATTAAATCGATAATGCTGTCCTTTATCTTACTTGTCAATTTCGTACAAAACATCTATTTTTTTCAATAGCAAGATGACTTATCGATCATTACATCAGTTTATTCTCTTTTTTCCCCAGATAACATTAGAAACATCACAGAATTAAAATATCTGAAACGATTATCTACTGTTCATAATGATTTTTTCTTAATGAAAAAATCAATGTCTTAAAAATTATGTTGCAAAAAGTCTTATTCAAACAAATATAGAATTCCATCGTGTCTTAGCATTTATACAGAGGAATAATAAACAACTGTGACTTGTACATAAATACTTCTTGTCCTGAATATCCATGAAATATTTGCCACTGGATGTTAAGCAAACAATTATTGATCATCAATTGCAGATGGTTCAGTAGAATATATTTCAAACATAATAAGTACAAATACTTTCTTGGTAGTCATGATCATACAGACCTTTAATGAAGGTTGGTCTTCAAGTGGCTTTTATTAGATATCATACCCTATGCTCATTAAATTTCAAATAATAAATGACTTTTGCCCTGGTTATTTTATTGGCAATTAATTAATTGCACTACGGATCAATACTCAGTTCCTTTGGAAATAAGTAGGATCTCAAAATTAATGTATCAAAGTACAACTAATTGTATTGTACCAACTAAGACTCTTCAACATCATTTTCTGTTCAAAGGTCAACAATATCAATGCCAATTCTAAGCCTTTCAAAAAATGTTTTCCTAGATGATATAACCCAACATAAAGGCTTTCTCTTTAAACATATATTTGTTTGTGTTTGGCCTTTCTAAGATATTTAAGTGCAAACCATGACATTTTCTGTTGAATTTCAACATTACTTCCTTACAATTAATACTTAAGTTCTTAACTTTAACATTATCAACAATTTCATTGTGGATGTTATCTGTCTTTATAGAATGCTTAACAAGTGCAGTATACAAAAGCTACACATAAATAAAAGATTTCCACAAATTAACCTGAGAGAGACTGAAAGATATAATGAATTACAACAAAAAGCTTTTAACAATAATGACAATGTTCCAATAAATTTACCCAGTATGCAAATTACAAGTAAACATTTGAATAAGCTGTTGTGCTTAACTGGCAGTTCAGAGTAACTTATCAATTAAGAATAGCCGTAAAAGTTGTGTAACTAGCTATTAGGACTTTTTTCAAGATTTGTAAATATTTCTGTCTGGCCCAGTCAGATTTATAGTGAACTAATTTGGTCAAATTATCAAAAAGAGCAGAAATATGCAAAAATACAAACAAAGCAAGTTATAATGACTGGTTTTGTCTGTTAGCCATTTTCATTTGTTTTAGACAATGGTACATAGAGAAAAAAGTTAAGTTCTGTTGATGATGGTTTCAAAACATGTAAACCTCTTAATACATGTAATAACCTTTCAGAATAACAAACATTTTGTTCTTTTTCATATTTTTAACATTTTGTATTTTAACTGCATCAGCCATTTAACTGTCAATTTTATTCATTGCATTTGAAAGTTTTCCAGCCTCCGATATATACAAATCACTCTACTAATACCGAGTTATTTAATCACAAATATCTGACAAATAGAAGGAAATCTTCCTTAAAATTTCCTTTTACTTCCATTTATTAATGAGCTTGAATGTTGATCAGAGATCTGTGAACAGCAAATTGAAATTCAATTTAATTTCATCAAAATTCAGTTTTAAAAGTAATCATGATACAAGATCTATTTGAAACCTGACAGTTTAGGATATTCCACAAATCTGTAATTCAATCTATCAACTATAATGACAGGTTTTCATATTGAACCAACAAAGAAGTGCTGAATAAATTTGAAGAAATCTTATATAATATTAAATGTTTGAATTTTTATATTGACTTTCATTACCAAAACACTTTGTGACAACTTTCAGATTATTCTTGATTAAGTTAGTGTTAAATTGAAACAATCCTCACAAGCATGATAAAATCATTAAGACAAATTAAATGAAAGAACTGTAATAGATCCATGCAGTTGTACATATAAAAATCCATAAACATGACCTCTTGATACAGTTATTATTGTTAAGGTTTGGATTTGAATTTACATCCCTTTCACCAATTGTATTTGCGCACACTTTTGGTTAAAATTACAATATTTAGTCAAAATGCTTGTAGGCTTTTAGGTCTAGTTACACATCACAGTCACTCAGTGCCCTTTTACTTTGAATGAAGCTTAGATTTGTCGATCTCCAGACCTGATACAAACAAGCTTACATTTCTGTGTCATTTGGTCTCTTGTGGAGAGTTGTCTCGTTGGCAATTATACCACATCTTCTTATTTTTATATTTAAAAACAATTCAAAAGATCTTATTTACATCAAGATATGAACCTAACAGTACAACCTTGAAAAAAAGATTTGGTCAAAGCGTTTTCATGTTAATGAACGGACACTGTTTGGCAGCCATCCAACCGCCCGCCGTACATCACCAAATCAATAACCAATTTTTCTTTCAAAAATCAGGTTAAAATTTGGATATCTTAGGATTCTGTATGTGACATATTATAATTTACACATACATTTTATTTAGAGTCTATGTAAGCTTGCATGGTCACATGTATACCTAAATAAAGGAAAAGATATACTTTTTCACAAGACTATATACTTTACAGTGAGTTATTGAAGACTGTTGACAAATTTGTAAACTGTTAAACAATCTTTTTAAATTTTCGTGTGATTAAATGAAAACAAATACTCTATGAAGAAATTATAGTATAAAAGTCAACCTAACATTTATACATCAAATGAAATATAGTATCTTTAAATAAAAAGACTTTGTTCTTTTCAATGGAAATAATAAATAATACCTGTATTTTTTAAAATTTGTACCAGTAAATATATTGATAAATGAATTAGATTTACAAGGTTCGTCACCGAAGTCTGGATGGTACAAAAATAACTTAAGAGTTTTACTACAGATTCCTTAGATAATAACAGGATATCTACTGAAAAGGAATACTCTCCATTGTCACTTCATGATAAATTGCATGTAATATTATTCTCATCAGAATTTCACTGCAAACAATCAAACATATATAATAATGCTTTAATTATTAATAACTCTGATGAATGGCGATTGCATGTCTATCAGACGATTCAAAATAAGTCAATAATTCCTTAGAGATACGATAGAGGATCCAAGACTTTTAATGAAGTCATGTAATAATGCTACTTTTAAACTACATTTTGAATAAGGTAATAAAACTTCCAGCATTTTTCGTATTTTATAACTGTCTTTTCATGATGTAACAATCAATATACTTCATGGAAGATAAACGGAAAGTAATGACTACATTGCATGTTTCTTCGTAAGAAGAACTGCTACTAGATACAAAACAGGTATTAATTCAAAGCATCAGCATATGGCCAATTCTTACTGTTAGTGATAAATATTTTAAAATATTAAATTACTGAAACCAAGTAATTTTCCTGAGCTATAAAAGCTAGCTTTTGCAAATATAAAAATAACGCAAATATGAGAATATATTGGAGCTTATCTTATATGAATACAACGAGTAAGGGTTAAAGA